TCTTTCCTCTGGCCTCCCCCAGAATTCCACACGACTTCCTGCCTTCTTCACTCCTCTTCCTCCCTGAGTGTGGCTGTTATTATAGAGTAACTTCTCACTTTCCCCCGTGACACTCTTACTTTAACATGAATAAGAGAGGAAACTAATGAAATCAATTAACGTATTTTCATGTGATAGAACATTATACATCCATTAGAAACAATTTAAACTAGGGATGATGGGGCGTTCCTATAATCCCAGCACATGGACAGGCTGAGGCAAGAGGCTAACAGATTCAAATTCCACATGGGCAAGACCCTGTCTCAAAAAAATTTTTTAAATGTTTTAATTTTTTAAAATAATTATTAATTCAGGTGACATTTATTACTGCTCTGTTCCAGGGACTATACTATGAAAAAATACTTGATGACAGGGAAATATCAAGTGTATTCATTCACTGTACAAGAATCAATCTATGGGGATATGGCTCAGTGGCACAAGTGCCTGCCTGCCAAGCGCAAGGTCCTGAGTTTGACTCCTGACACCAAAAAAAAAAAAAATTATTACAAGATCTAATTTAGATTATAGTATTTAAATGAAACTTTGGCATTAGACTTTAAAATTGATGCTGGAATGAGTCAAACTTTTGGAACAGAATGAATGTGCTTGGTATACAAGAAGGACATGAATTTTGAGGTTTCAGGGACAAAATGATATAGACTTAATGTTTGTCCATATTTGTATGTTGAAGCCCTAGACATCAATGTCAGACCTGGAGGGAAGAAGTTTGGGAAGTAATTGGGTCAGATGAAGTCACATGGGGCCCCACAGTGGGGTTCATGTCACTGCGAGAAGAGGGAGAGAGACCAGAGCTTTATGTCTCCACCAGAGTTTTCTGAGGATACTGAAAAGTGAGCCAGCCAGAAAGTTTCTCACCAGAAACTGAGTCTGCTGACACCTTGATCTTGGGCCTTCTAGTCTACAAATCTGTGAAAAATAAATGTTATTTGAGGAAAAAATACAGTAAAATCTATACTTTTATACAGAAAATTACACAGTACCTTTGATAAGTCTAAGAAATATTGAAGTGTTCATAGTCTGCATTCATTAGAATTAGAATTATGTAATTTACTTCTTCTTTCAATGGGCCTTGGGATTTAATATATATTTACACAAAGGCGCAGGTGTCCCCGCCTGGAAAGGTGCGTGAACCATCCCGAAGTGGAGAAACCTCTGGGAAAACATGCCACACGGTGGGTCGCTCTTGGCCCTGCCCTTGAGAGCCAGAAAGGTCCGGAGTCCGCGGAGGAGCAGCTGCTGAACAAGGACTCGGAGAACAGGAGGGTACCGATGCCCGACGGCTCAGAGGTCGAGCTGACGGGGGACCCGGGAGCCATTCAGGAGCTGGAAACCAGGAGGACTTTGCGCAATACCTGGGGAGACGCTCTGGAGAAACCACTTTGAGGATGCCAACATGTATTCCGGCAGCCACTGATGATATCCTACCAATCTGTCCATAACTCTGTAATGTTTCTGTTGCTCCTATGCTATTCCATAAATGGATGTATGTTTGTTACTATGTGTTTTCAACAACAACCATTGAGAATAGTCAATGACTATTTGACTGATCACCCATGTATAGCTCTATTTGTTTTCCCTAGAGACCACTTTGGAGAAACCAGGGTATAGTACAACAACCACTGATAATTTCTTGCCATTTCCGTTTGTAACTCACTATTATTTGTCTATTTGTTTTCCTGAGAAATTATCTTGAAGATCCAATAGGTAAAGTAAAAACCATTGATAATATCCTACCACTTTGTCTGTAATTCGGTGTATCCCCCTACTGCTTTGTTGTCCTTCTTTTACTCTTAAAAAGAAAAAAAATTTAAAAATTAAAAATAATAATATTTATACAAAGTTACTGTGTGTATCAGTGAGAGACAAAAACAATCCAAAAAAAAGATATTTCAAGTAATCAAAAAGTCATATTTATATTTATTTCAAATTGCTTCTTGGCATGTTAGACTTGAAATTTGGAGAAGGGCAGAAGACCAGAATGGCTCTGCAGACCCTTTTTATTACTAAGTCTACCTCAACAACCTTTCAGGAAGGCCAGAAGAAGGAGCAAAATAGAGCACTATGAGACACGGCTCCGTGACAGTTCTACAGGGTGACTAACAACCTCTGCTCATCTAGCAGGGAGCAGTGGGCTGTACCTCTCACTCTTGACCAGCCAGCCAGTCTGAGAAAACCCAGACCATGCTAAGACACTTCTAGACACACTGAAGAAAGAGAGCTTTAAAAAGCAAAGGAAGTAGAAAGGGTGAGGAAACACTTGTACAATTTTCATCTCAAAATGATTCATCTCCACAAAGCTTTTATAAATAAGAGCGGAGGGGCTGGGAATTTAGCTCAGGGGCAAAGTGCCTGCCTGGCAAGCGCAGGGTTGTGAGTTCGGTTCCCGATACCGGAGAAAAACCAAAAAAAATAAATAAATAAGGAGGTGAAGAGGGGTTGAAGGGATTAGGGGGGATTGGCAAAAATAGAGAAATCAAGATATATCATGTACAAGTACAAATTCCCTATGGTGAAAGTTATCCTTATGTATATCTAAAATCTACCAATAAAATTAATTTTAAAAACTGATTCATCTCCAAATACAGTACCCTAATTTCATCTCAAAAGGGTAATGCAAAAATTCTATTGCTTTACTAGTGAGAATTAGAATAAAAATATAAATTGGATTATAAGGTTGGAATTTTCTACTTATAAATAGATTTTGATATTTAAAAGCAATGTTCAAATCTGCATTTTAACAAGCTAGACTAACACTTTTCATACACTTTGATAAAACTCCTTCACATATATCATTGCATATGGTTCTCACAATCCCCTCATGTGGCAAGACAGATATTCTTCTCATTTCTCGTGTGAGAGGCAAGGCTAGGATTCAAGCCCAAGTCTTATGAGATCAGGAGTCCTTTTTAACTAAATAACTTAGAGATATTAATTGTACTAACTAGATATAGAAAATATCTCATTTTCTCCTTTGTAATATATTTATTGAACTAAAAAAAAATATTATGATTACAGTGGATAAAATTTTCCACACATGAAAAAGCACCCAGCACACTTCCCACAATCAGTGGATGTTCCAAAAATATAAGATGACTGACATGCACTTGATCTTAACAAGGAACAGACATCTTTAGAAAATTATAGCCTTTATATTAGATTTTTCATTGCTCTTTCCTGTTCTTAAAACTCGCCTACATGCTTCTGAAGGGTTGCATCCTGGGGGATTAAAAAAAAAAATTGTCTCAAATATCAGATGATTTAAGGTGAAAATCTCTTAAAGGTACCAATTTTTCTTTTTCTAATCAAGGCAATATAAATTAATTTGGACCATAGTTTTAAAGAAAATCAATCTGATTTCAAACATTTCACTTGTAAAATGAGAAAAAAGTAAACCTAAAAACCACACGACCATCTAAAATTTTTCTTGCTTAGAAAAGTGTCACAGTTCGAGTGGTTTGCTGCTGAAAAAGGATCTAACTTGGGTTTGGTAAAGACTAGATACTCCTCTCAGCAGGAGAGGCTGTGGCTGTGAGGTTTATATCTGTATGACCAGGAAGCTCAGCCGTAGCAAGCAAAAAGTTAAAATCATTCAAATGGCTTCAAATGCTCCAAATATTTGGACTTATGAGGATCAGCTGTTTTGGCAATAGTGTGGACTTCTCACATTTCCACTTGAAAAGTGTCTTTGTCAGTGGGAACCTGGACACCTGACATTCTGCACTGGCCTATGTACATAGTCATGATGAACTTTGCCTGCCAGATGGGAAAACTCTCCTCGAGACTAGGGTCTGTGTTTCTTTAACATGACTCTGCTCTTTTTCCCACTGAAAACCCCCAGAATGTAGACAGCATGCAGCTAAAGGGGTCTGGCCTGCTGACCTTGATGAAGTCCCCAAGTTGAGGCAGTCTGTGTGACCCATGATCTCAGAATCTTGTCCATAAAGCTATCAGTAACCTCATACTAACAATTATTCCAATAATAATGCTAATAATAGCATCCTTGTCAATAATGCAGATTTGGGAGTTTACTTCACACCTTATCAGTCCAAATCTCGGCATGGAGCCTTGGAAGCTGCGCTTTAAGAATTCCCCTGATAACTTCCTTGAAGTCTGAGTAGCACTATTCTCAGGGTTACCAGAACAAGACAACCCCAAGCAAGGAAAGGTAGTATTATGTTGCTGAATATGGACTAGGAAAGCAGACACACAATGGCTCTCACAAGCCAATCAGCCAGCTCCAGGACACAATGCCTACGCGCACACACACACATTCACATAAATGCGCTCATCACTTTGTATGATTTTGTCTGTCTCATACAGCCATACCCAGGGAAGAAGAGTGTCTCTCATCCTATAATTAAACATGTGACTATTTTTTCTATTTGTCCATAGTGCTCCCCCAGCATACACATGCAGCAATACACACAATGTACCCAGAAACATAAATACATGTAGACACGTACACATACACTCATATATACACACAGGAGAAGGATGAGGTTCCACTAAGCCTAAAGAAGCAAATCTATCAACTTTTCTCAACTCTTTGCTCAGTGTTTCACCCTCACATTACCTCATTTGGATACCTTAAAACAAGATTTTTAATGTAAAAATAATTCCAGTGTCAACAGCAAGAATTGGCACTTAGCATTACCCAACATGGTCAAAGGCAGGATATTCAGAAATCCCAAATCTCCAGATTAGATAGCCTGCCTTTACAGATGCTTATGAATAAAAGGGAGGGGAAAGCCTTCCCCTACAGCCTAAATACACTCCCTTGTACAGTCTGTAATTAACTGCTTTTAAAACTTCTCCATGGCACTAGGAGCACCATTAGTCAAAATTCTACATTTTCTAGAAAAGAAATAAGAGAGATGATGTGAGTGACTAAGTCACCCTTCACCATTGGCAGCAGAACCAAGACAATAGCCCAGGCCCACCTTGGATTCCCAGCTCCTGGGTTCCCCACTACAGCCTATGATCTGGATTCCTGGAAGGAAGAAGGGATTAGAGTTAATTCTATATTCAGAAGTCCAAGAACAGATACTACTTGTTTTGAGAACTACATGTAAATTTTATAGGACTGCATAAAATAGGAAGGAACTCCCAAGCTCCTTCCCCTTATTTTTGCCTCCTTACCGCCTGCTAATGTTTGAATGTGTCTCCTGAAAAGTTCGTGTGCTGGATCTTTGATCTCCAATGCAGTAGTATTGAGAAGGGGGACATGGAAAGGTGAATGGAATTCTCCATTCATGAATTAATGGATTAGTGGATTGCTGGGTTATTACAGGGATGGCTCTGTTGTAAAAAGAGCTCTCTCTGGCTAGCTTGCTGTATTGTGTTATGAGATAACTTCTACCCTGATATGAAGGAAGAAGGTCCAGGTGTAAACACCATACTTTTGGATCTCTCAGCCTGCAGAATCATGCAACAAGTAAGTTCTAATCTTCATAAATTACCCATATTTTGTTATAATAGCCAACATGATGACACCTCTTGCTCAATCTTTCCAATGAGGAAATATCAAGATAATTGCACATGCAACCATTGACCAGACCACATTTGTGCTGGGGAAACATAATTGGATTTTCAAACATCAGACCAGGTTATCTCCTATTATGTTTCCATTTCCACATGAAGGGAGATGTAATCGGCCCAGGACCCACCTCTTCAGGATGGGTCCCAGACTCACTTTGCTTTGCCTGAGTGTTCCAATCACAGTACCATGTAGCTAGCCAGGTGGTGGCAAAATCCAAGATGTGAGTATAAAATGGGAGGAGAGAGGTAAAATAGAAGTCTAATAAGCTATGTGTTATAGCTCAGACTTCTTTAAAGGAAAAAATGTGGGGAAAGACATCTTATCACACACTTGCTCAGTTAATAAAAATATAAAGTTGATTTCTGCCTGCTATTATTGTTCTAGTCTGTATTGTTCCCTTTCCCTCTCAGGAGGAACAGTATTGTAGAAACACATCTTTAGGAAGACCACAGGGGAAAGGCGAGAATGAGCTATCACTGCATGTGTCATGAACAAATCATCCTACAAATATTATGTTGACTAAAAGAAGCCAAACTTGAGAGGGCACATGCGATATGTTTCCATATATATGAAGGTCACGAGCAGACAAAATTGGTCTGTGGTGAGAAGAATCATAACAGTAGTTATCTGGGAAGACAGCTGGGGAGTGGATTGATATTGGCTAAGAAGAGGCACAGGGAGCCAGCCCTCTGGGGTGCTGAAATCTGCTCTGTCTTGATCTAAGCACAGTTACCACAGGTGTATATAAGTTAAAGGTATTTACTGACCTGTGGTTAAGAGTTGTAAACTTTACCATATTGCTCAGTGAAGATACAACCTTCATTTCCCAAATGAAATGCTTAATTTTTAAATAGTTCTGTAAATGAAAATGTATTTCCATTTTTAGAACTTTGAAATACTTAAAATTAGAAATTTAGAGTCTGACTCATTTTTATCAAATTTTAAAAGATTTATTTAACTAATTTTTAACTGTAACTGAAATTAAATTTTTTTCTAATTAGAAAGTTTAATGGAGAGGTTTCATATCATCCATTTTCTCAAGAGACGCCTTTTTAGCTTGAAGAATACATGGTGAGAATAAGCTGTTTTAAAAGAGTTAATACATTTTTGTTTTTCCCTGCTATTCAAAATCTTTGCTAGCATTTGAAACTTTTCAGTGTCCTCTTTTCTATGTAAATTGTATGTCTGACATCTCTTCTATACAAAGGAAAATGAAAGGGCATGTTAAAGTAGTTCAGGGAGTTGGTTGTGGTATACAAAAATGTTTTAATTATCTTGTTGAAGAGTTTAGAGGAGATGCTATAAAATATGCATTTACTGGTATTGGAACAGATGAAAGCACAATATTTTCATTTTTAAAGACGAAAAGATCTATTTTAAAAAGCATGTGTTTTTCATAGCATACTTTATACCAATGATTCTAAGGTTTCTATTAAACAGAAAAACAAATTACAAGTCTGGCAACCACAAAGATGAAAAGGGGCAAAATCTCCTTAAGTGAAAGGGGTTTTAACCAATGGCAAAGTGATGACAAAATACCATGGCGTATTGACAGCATTGTTAAATCTCCAAATTATATTTAATGATAGCTAACTAGTGTTTGGGGACACAAGAGCCCATGGATGTCTGACTGTTGACGAAAAAAGGAAAAAGAGAAATGAGGAATGATGTCTCCTCCAAAACACAGCAAAGTTAAACTGATCCAGCTGAGACACAGTAGTTTCCAGGGAAAAGTAACTTTTATTTTAATAAACTCAAAGAAGCAAGCCCAGCCCTGCCTTGTATGCACCACCCAGGCTACTTTATCTGTCCCAACACCCTGGGGCTTATGCTTAGCACCCCCAAGAGCAGCTTTGGATCCAAATTCCTATGACCCTGGTTCAGGTCAAAATTCCTGTGTCTGAGCAGGTGGATATTTGTTTAATGAAGGCCATTTAAATGTGGTATTGGCTGAAGTTTAGCAAAATCCCTCTTCCTTGAAGAAATATCACACTGACCAAGAAATTGTGAGCTAAGATGACTCAGTCTGGTAAAATCATATAGATGTTTCACAGAATCTGAATGTTTAATGGAGAAGTTTCATATACATACAAGCAAAGAGGATTATTAGGCTCTCACTCATAGACTTATTCTTCCAGCAAATGTTAAAATCAGCAATGACAAGATCGGCTCTTCTGCATAAAAAGTCCAAATGCTTGAGTTTTCACCTGGAAAACATAAATCCAGGCTAGAAGAGTGACCTTGAGAGGCCTGTATTCCTTGGCTCCATAAAATTCTTCACCAAATAGGGAAGAGGACAGGACATCAAGAAGTAGTACCAAGTCCACATCATTATCTTTCACCTTCAACATCAGCCACTACTTCCCAACAAGAATTTGTCCCATATGGAAAAATTAAATCCAAAAGGAATAACTAAATCTAATATGTAAAAGTTAAGCCCACTTGGCTGGGGAGTGCAGGCATTCAGGGCCCAGCACACCCAGTCGTGCCAGTGCCCGGAAAGGCAGGCAGCAGGCGCCCAGGAAGCAGGATAGAGATGTGTGCAGGCCCTCGGGCCGGCCGCCACCATGCAGTCAAGAAACACTATGCCACAGAGAAGCACCGACACAATAGGCCACCCGGAGACGTGCATGAACCATCCCGACATGGAGAAACCTCTGGGAAAACATGCCACACGGCAGGTCGCTCTTGGCCCTGACCTTAAGAGCCAGAAGGGGCCGGAGTCAGCGGAGGAGCAGCTGCGGAACAAGGACTCGGAGAACACGAGAGTAGCGACACCCAACGACCCAGAGGTCCAGCTGACAGGGGACGCAGGAGCCATTCAGGAGCTGGAAACCAGGAGGACCTTGTACAACACCCTGGGTGACCCCCCTGAAGGCCATTCTTCCCCGAACTGTATAGGCTGTGGTGGAGGAGCGAGTGAAACTCTGGAAAGGTCTGCACCAAGACTTCATGGATTACATGGGTGCCCAATATTCAGATTTTGAAGAACAGCCTTCATGGAGAAAGTACACATCTATGTTACCTGCCTGGGACACTTTGCACCTGATGGTGCTGACACTGACTAGCGGTCCAAGGACTTCATCCACATGTCCTGCCACCTGTGTTGGTGGTTGGGGAGAGGACACTAAGTGGTGGTGGGATCCCAACGTGCTGGGAGGCTGGACAGAACACCCCTCTGCTTTCTTAGACAAGAAGCATTGATAAAGCATACTTCCCTGGATCCCAGTTCAGTAGAGGGACAAACTATTCTTAAAGATAAGTTTATTACTTAGTCAGCCCCAAATAGTAGAAAAAAGCTACAAAAAAATGGCTTTTGTCCCAGATAGCTCACTTGAGATGTTAGTAAGAATGTCTCCTCAGTATTTTATATCCATGCGGAGGAGGAGGAGAAGGAGAGAAAACAAAGAGACTGAGAAAAAACAGCTGCCTTTGTTGCAGCACTAAGAGAAACAGACCCTAAGTCTGATTCTCCGGGCCCCAAGAAGAACTCATCCACTACATTCATCTGCTACCACTGTCAAAAGCCAGGCCACCTCAAGAGGGACTGCCCTAAGAAGCCCCCTGGGCCATGCCCTGACTGTAAATGTGACCACTAGAGGTCAGACTGCCCTCTGAAGCGAAGGTCCCAGAGCTCAGACCCCTCCTACCAGCTGGTCCAACAGGAATGAAGGGGCCCAGGGCATACTCTGCCTTCTCCCTCTGGGCAGACCATTATCTTCAAGGAGGAGCCCCACGTAATCACGACTATAGAGAAAAAAGTAGTACTGGACACTGGTGCTGGTTTCTTGGTCCTTCTTTTCAATCCTGGCCTTCCTTCCAGCCATCACATCTCAGTGAAAGGAGTCACTGATGAGGAGGTAATCTGCTATTTTTCACAACCCTTAGGCTGTAACTACTTGTTATTTCTTTCTCACTTATCTTTGTTTTCCTGGGAAACCACTTTGAAGATACCAACATGTATTACAGCAGCCATTGATAATTTCCTACGAATCTGTCCACAACTCTGTAATGTTTCTATTGTTCCTATGCTATTTCATAAATGGATGTATGCTTATTACTATGTGTTTTCAACAACAACCATTGAGAATTGACTAATGATTATTTAATTGATCATTCATGTATAGCTCTATTTGTTTTCCCTAGAAACCACTTTGAAGAAACCAAAGTATAGTACAACAACCATTGGTAATTTCCTACCATTTTTGTCTGTAACTCACTATTATTTGTCTATTTGTTTTCCTGAGAAATTATCTTGAAGATACCAATAGGTAAAATAACAACCATTGATATTGTCCTACCACTTCATCTGTAATTCAGTAAATCCCCCTATTACTATGTTATCCTTATTTTACTCTTTTAAATAAAAAAATTTAATAAATAAAAAAGTTTATATTTTGTTCTCTCATTTTAAGCTAAATATTCTTTCATAAAACAGTATTCAATTGAACACACTTTTAAAACATATTTTTTTAGGGT